GTCCAGGCGGCCCTCATAGCGGGCGTGGTCATCTTGTGGTGGGGGCGGGGGGGGGGGGGGGGGGGGGGGGGGGGGGGGGGGGGGGGGGGGGGGGGGGGGGGGGGGGGGGGGGGGGGGGGGGGGGGAGAACAGGCCAGGCGGTGTGTTTGCCTTTTGCTTGCCTCTCGCTGGCCAACCCGCGGGATTGTTGCCGCTTTAGTGTCCCCAGTTCGAGGGCAGCCCGCCTGCTTGGGGGAATGTCAACGGACAAGCATGGAAGAAGCCCACAGATGCACGGGCTTGCATCCGTCTCGCACCGGCGTCCTCCATTCCTGGCCTGCTGCCGCCGAACAGCCGTCCAAAGCAGCCAACAGGTCGGAGCGCGCGAGAGGCGTTCCTGCTAGAGCTCCTTCCCTGTACTGAGTGGACGACCACTCGGTGCATCTGGGGCAAGCTCTTGGTGGCGGTCTTTTCGCCGAGGCCGCGTCGACAGGGGCCGCAGGGGCCATCTTCAACATGGGAAAAGAACTCCCAAGCACTGGCCAAGTAAATGGATGCCTGCAAGCGGGTTGACCCTCGAGCTGTGTCCCTGCATTCCCAGGCCTCCGACACCGAGGACACGCGAGGACTCCCAAGGGCCGGCCGAGCATGTGGCGACCCGATGGAGACCCGCGAGAAAAAAAAGCAGAAGGAATCCTTCGCTTCACCCTCACCCATTCCGGCTTGGCCCTTGAGCGAGGCTCATGCTGGAATGGGCAGCCGAGGCAAAGGGCCGGTGACCGTCAGTTACATGCGCTTGGATCTTCCCACAGCCGTCGGCGGCTGGCCCACGGTCACACTTACTGGCCAGCGTGTAGGAGAGTTCACACGGATTCCCTCTTGTGTCAATGGCGGGGGGCGCCTTGTCGGCAGCCACACTGGAAATCTGTTTCGACTTCGGAGTCAGTCTTGGTGGGAGAGGAGGGCATAAAGAGCCAGGGGCTATTGTCGCCCGAAAGGCGGGGTGTGCAAGCTCGGCCTGGGATGAGTTCAGTGAAAGCAAAAAGAAGAAAAAAGAAGAAGAACAAGGAGCTTCGGATGATAAAAAGGTTTTCAGGGGAAGGCCCGAGAAAAAGGGGCTCGCAGGCCGGGACCAGCGCTCCGAGGCTGTCCCCACATACTCCTTGACACATGCCCTGCTGCCTATGTCTCGTTGGCCGTGGACTGCCAGTGAGGAGCTGCCTTTTTGGCCTTGTGGGCTTGGAGCCAGTGGGCAGGATGTGGGGGATCGCCCCCCCGCTTGTGTGTCTCTCCCTCGCCGGATCCCCCATGAGGCCTGGGGCTCGGTGGTTTCGCGGCAGTCGTCTTACCCCACACTCCCCTTTGGAGGAATGCCGTTCAAATGCCCACACGCCCCTCCGGAGAAGGCACGTGCGTCATGTAGCGACCATCCGTGATCTACACATCGGGTCTCCGGTTCCACAGCAAGTCGGTGACAATATTTGCCCAAAGCCCTCTCCACCGCCCAAGTCCCAACGCTCTAATGGTCCCACAAGAGCGGCCGCACTCGGCCGCCCGACTGACATGGTCCAGGTCAAGCACTCCCCACTCCACTCCACTCCACTCCATTCCATTCCATTCCGCTCTATTCCTTCCTGGTCTTCCTCCTTTGGGCTCCGCTCTCCACCGCCCCTCTTCGCTTGTGGCCCACTCGTTCCCCCTCTCCGCCGCCTCCTCGCTCTCCGGCTGCCGGCGCGTGAGACATGGCACCCCCGCAGCCGGTGCCCGACTCCCGGGGCCAACCGCCTCACATGCCCGGGGCTGGGACCAAGCCCCCCCCACCGGGGGCCCCTCAATACGCGCCGATTCCACATGGCAGCCATCCTCAGCATGGCCATCCTCCGCAGGGCCAGCCGGCCGGGCCACCAGGCGGCATGATGGTCCACCCGGATCAGCGTGGTGTTTCTGGCGCTCCTGGCGGTGCCTACTACGCCGCACAGCCTGGCGCCGGCCCGCGTCCAGGACAGCCTCACCAGTACATCCATCCTGCCGGCGCTGGAGGCCCGCAGGGTCCGCCATCTGGAAGTGCGGCGCCTCCTGTCGCAGGGCAACACCCGCACCTGACCCAGCGGCCTCCCCCGGGACTTATGCCGTCTGCTGGCCGACCGGCTGCCGGCTATGATCCACACTATGCACAGGCTAGTGGCGGTGGCGGTGGCGGTGGCGGGGGCGGCGGTGGCCCTTCCGCCGCCGCTGCTGCCATGGCACACCAGCAGCAAGCACAACAGCATGCCATGCAGCAGCAGCATCAGCAACAGCAGCAGCAGCAGCAGCAGCAGCAACAGGCAAACATGGATCAGCTTCGCCGCCGGGGGTCTTTCTCCCACCCGGGCGTCCCTCCGGGACCCGGTGGCCCCGCTCCAGGACACCACCCGGCCCATGCATACTCGGGTACTCCGGCCAGCGCGCAGTATGCCCACCGGCCGGAGCATGGTGGCTCCTCGCCCAGTCCCCAGGCAGCTACCGGTGCGACCGCCAGCTACCCGTCCCACCAGCATGTCCATGCCCCGTCTCATGGGCAACCGCATGCCCATTCTCACGCGCAGCAGCAAGCGCAGCAGCAAGCACAGCAGCAGGCGCAGCAGCAAGCGCAGCAGCAAGCGCAACAGCAACAGCAGCGTCCTGGCGTTTATGGGCTGCCGGGCTCCGCTGACCCGAAGCAAGCACCGGTTCCCGCTGCTCGTGGCGCGTACAACCAGGCGCCGAGTGCTTTGGCCCCAGGTGGTGTATCTTCTGCTCCGAGTGCCCGTCCGCATGATCCGCGGATGACTGGCGTGCATGGTCAGCCATCACATCAACAGCAGCAACAGCAGCAACAGCAGCAGCAGCAGCAGCAGCAACCGGCTGCCCGCCCGTTGTACCATAGCCACACGTCTCAACAACAACAGCCACAGCCCCAGGCGCAACCGCAGTCACAACAACAACAACAGCAGCAGCAGCAGCAGCAACACCCTCAGGGGCCTGGGGCAGGTGCATCAGCTTCGGCGCCTGGACAAACACCACCAACACTATCGGGCCAGTCGCCGCACCATACCATGCCCGCAGCTCCTGCCGGTGCCGTGCAAACCCGTCCTGCACACCCTGGACAACCGGGGCAGGCACATTATGGAGCACCCTCTCAGCCGCATCGTCCCCAGCAACCAGGGCACCTGCAGCAGCCAGGGCATCCGCAGCAGCCGGGCCATTCCCAGCAGTCAAGCGCACATCACATGCCGCAGCATTCCCACGTCCAAATGCCCCAGAAGCATGTTCAACACTCGCCGCACCATCACCCAACGGCCCAATCGCAGAATCCGTCCCAGCCACAGTCCCAGTCGCAATCTCAACCGCCGTCGCAACCGCCGCCACAGCCTCAATCGCAGTCACAGCCTCGACCGGGCCAGCCCCCCTCGCAGGCTCCTCATCACGCGCATGCTGGCATGGTTGGACATGAGCACGCTCGGAGGTCCTCCATCCAAATGGACGACCATGCAATGGGGCACGCGGCCGCAGCCGCCGCTGCGACAGCCGCTGCTCAGGCCCAGGTGCGTGTTTTTTTTTAGGGCTGCGAGAAAAAGAAGACCAAAATGAAACCCCCCTCTCCATGTTTCCCTCCACTTCGCTGATTAACCAACCTGATGTGTCGATCTCCAAAAAAAAAACCCCATCTTGCCTGGTCATCCTTCAACACATCATCCCCAGGCCGCATCGCAACGCCAGCCGCAGGTACAAAGCCAGGGCCAGCCACAGCGAATGCCCATGACCAGTCACCATCCTCCAGGGTCGGCTCCTTCGGGGCAATACCCCGGGCCCGCGGCAGCCTCCTCGCGCGGCCCTGCTCCTCCTCAAGCGGCCAATCCCATGGAACGCCGTGGCTCAAATGCCTTCCAGTTCCCCCCACACCCTCCTTCTGCGCCGGCCTCGACCTACCAAGCCAAACCGCCTGATGGCAGCTCCCCGGCCTATCCTTCGGCGACTGGGCAGCCAGGACGCTCGCCAGCTGAGCAGGCGTATGCCGCGGCAGCGGCTGCCGCCCAGCGGTCGGCTGGTCATCCTCAGCATCCGCAGCATCCGCAGCACCCGCAACACCCGCAGCA